CGGTAGGTTGGCGGGAGTCGGGCTGGCTAGGTAGACGCGGACACGATGGCGTGCAGCGGTAAGTGAGCGCGGCTAGTGCGAGTGCACCAGCGGCGGAGGTGGTACATCGGCTGCGAAGCGTGGCTCCGCTGCCGACTGCCTGCCGGCCTGCCGCTCCAGTCGCTGCGTAGACGCAGACAGACGCTATGCTACGTAGTCGTTCCCCGGAAGCGTAATCCGTGCATGCACAGACTGGATACGTATGTATACATTTTCGATAGTGACGGTGTGATTGAAAATCGTCGTGCTCCACGTTCCTCGGTGATCGGTGTCGAGTGACGATCGTTTTCTGTGTTCGGCTATTGCGAGATGTCGAAAGCTGCGTGGCTTTAAGCGCTTCTGACGGAAGCCAGCTACCAAGGCCTCGGTTGGATCGGAAAGGGATGGTCACCTTTAAGAGCAACAACGCGGACAGGTATGCCGGAGACCGTTTACTTTGCGCTCACTCCCCGTGCGATCTCTACCCGCTTACTCGCTCTGACGCATCGTCGCGTCGCCTCGCCTCGCGTTGTTCAACTTTACCCTGACCTCTCTTCGACGAGTTCCGCCTCCTACCTACCAAACGGTTGACAAAATATTCTTCTCGATATCAATTCGCTAAAGTATTAGGGGAGCCGAAAAGAAATCAATTATTATTATTATTATTATTATTATTATTATTATTATTCTTTATTCATTACACGGCTTAAAAAACCGTTTTATATACATGGAAATATACAACAAGCAGATTAGACGATTAGTAGATTAGACAAAAAGTTATGAGGCTGATAGTTAAATTATGTTAGCTTGTATTAAGATTAAATATAGTGGATTTCTTTCCGATCGCCTTAATTTATACAATCGAGACGCACAACACGTACTTCAATTAGTTCGATCACGCGTAATTTGATTGAATCAACGCTTTCGTTTTCTTTCTTCGAGGTTGCACGGAGAAAGGGTTTACGCTTACGGTGTAGATACGTGCATACGCACCTAAATAACTGTTTGCCTTTAAAGAACGCGCAGATCGGTTTCGAACAGATGTGCCAATTACGGTACCTGCTACCAAAGTATATGCTACCTGTCTGTAGTTTAAGTTTAAAACGATTATGCGTCGAATAAAATTATTGAACTGAACTTTTGTTCGTCTATGAAGTTCATAGAACTGTTCCTGGGTAATGTCAATTCACCTTCCTAACGTTCGCTTTCTATGCGATAAGATAGTAACGGAGTTTTCTATGATAAAGATGAAATTCGTTCGCGGTGACAATGATATCAGTATTCGTTTATCATAGTCGTCGAGGGAGCAACGATGCTCGATCGAGCCGCGATAAAGATCGAACCGAATGCGCAGTGATAATCGTGAGTTATAAGAATCGGTGAATCAATTATTCGTGATTCATAATAGTGAGAATAGTTGTCGATCAGTGGACGACGAGCACGTATAGTTGACGATTGGAAAATGGAAATGAATTATAAGTATCTATGTGTTTAGTTACACTGCGTCTTATCCGTACTTACACATAGATACGCGCGTTCGGATTAAATATTTCGGGGACTTCGTCCATATGCGACTTACTAGATTACGATTTCCGATGAACGAACGATATCGGCATTAGTATCGTATCAGTTTCTGTAAACGAGAATGTATTTTACTCATCGAGCGATGGTTCTTTTGGATGATTCTTGTTACGTCTTCGAATACGTATAGCACATTCGTCTATTTCGTTGTAAACGAAATATTATTGCGTTCTCGTTTTTTCATTCTTTGCCAGATAAAAAATATACTTTTAAAAGAAGGAGTAAGACATAATTATTAGTGGTCGTTATAGGATGGTAAACACTATCGTTGTCTTAAGTATCTGTGCCACCCTGATTATTCGATAGCTCGGAACACGTTAACTTTCTGATTATTTCTTTCTCATCGGTTCTCCTATATTTATCGCGTGGATTTCACAGTTTTCCGCTCTCGTCGCCGAAGGTATCGCGTCATTTTCGTGTTCGACGACGGATAAAGATAAAGAGCGCAACCGTTGCGAAGGCTCTGCGTGGTTGTACTCGGCCCTTTAGACACGTTTCCGGTCTCACACTGGTTTCCACACACGGGTGCCAGATAAAATCGTTTGCACTCTCTGGAATTGAACCGTTGCGCGAAGCGTGTTTAACTCGTGTGCATACACGCTCGTATAGTATTCGTCGTGTGTTTGTACCGTGTATATTACACATGCACACTGTGTGTTTAATAACTAAACGTTGTACGATCTTGTACTTCTTCGTATATCTACGTAAGCCAGTGTGCACGTACAACGACGAATAGACCTCGAGATAATTTTTTTCATGGAAAGTAAAAAACTGGGCAAGTTTGAGGTGCCTAGTCCCTATAAAATATTTCAAAAGGCTCTTATTTTTAACATAAATTATAATATGACATATCAAAACGCGGCTTACACCGTTCGAATTTCGATTGCTACCGTCTCATCGACCTTATCACGAAGACCGTCGGCAATTAACAAAAAATATTCGAAGTATATATACAAATATTCTAAAAATGGAGAGTTATATAAATACTCTAGAAATTCTCTATTTTACTTTCATTCTTAATCTAATTTCGAATACGTACCCTTATCATATAGGGAAAAATCAATGAATGGTGATAAACGTTGTAAAGATAGTACTTACGCGTTACATGAAACGGTGTTACGTGAGAATTTTAACCGTTCGACGGTACTCTCGGAGTCCCAGGTGGGTTACCGTGCCGCAACCGGATGTAACCGTAATCTTTTATTTTTTTTCCCTACTGCCATTCGGCAGCTGCCGACTCCTCCAGATTCTCGACGAAGCCGATGAACCGGTAACGTTACACTCCATTCTATCCTTTTTAAATAGATTTACTTGTTTATTTGTTTATTACACGGGTTAAAAAGTCCTTTTATATACGTGGAAATGTACATCGAGCAGAATTACATTACTAGATTATACAAAATTTTATATCATATAGAAGCTTCATTTGTCGCGGCCTTTTCTCAGTTGTTGTTATTTAGAATTTTATATTCTCTTTTTCCTTGTTGCTATTATTTAGAGTTTCATTCATGTTTTCTGGTCTATTATTATTTTTCTGTATATTCTTTTTTTTATGTTATATTGGGTTCTTGTCTGTGAATGAAGCGTCATTATTATTACTATTATACAAATACTTGTTAATCCCGAAGTTCTGGAAATAATATAGCATATAATAAATAAAATAAAGGGTGTCGTGCTAAAAAAGTAGGGATAAATAAGAGTCACGTCGTTCGCGTTAATAGGTAGTTATATAGCGAATTAATAGAATAGATTAAGCTGAACGACAACTAACGAAGGATCGTTTTCATTTCAGTGATCGGTTAACGTCGCCACGCAGCAGCACACAAGGCGATTTTGCGAGCCCTTCTCGTATCGACGTATTCGACCACCTTCGTAGACATGATTCACCGATATACTGTTGCACCGGTGTTGGATCCTCCTTTTCCATCCGAAATTTACGCACGGTGCAGCCCGACTGTGCCCCACATTCGAGGTAAATCGCGCCAATTTTCTCAAATCATTTTTCTACGTTCTACGGCACGATGTAACGACATCGATAGCGTCCAACAGTTTGTCCACATATTTTCGATTTATATCTATGCAGAGTAGCCTGTATGTAAATGGTGATAATTCGTCCTTTTGCATTTTATCTAACGATATCATCGTTTAACGATTAACCTACATATTTTCGACTTATAACGTGGAATATTCTGTATGTAAATCGCGATACTGCGTCCTTTTGCATTTTATGCTGGATTTTCCGAATCTTGAAAAATTTCATTTATCCATGTATCTTGCCGCGCATCCGTCGAACCGATTATTCTCGTCCGTAAGCGTAACAAGAATTCGTCGGTGCCTGGCAGTCGCTGTGCATTTACGGAAATGTGTAAGTACGTACAGAGTGCTTCCTCGCAGGAAGGAGGAGAATCGAAATTTAGGTATTTCCTCGTAAATGGGCACCTATTCGTAATTCTGTCTATAGTTTTCATTTGAAATTATTGTAGTAGTAATAGCGCAATTCCGTCTATATGTAGATCTTCGTTTAAAATTTTTTCCTCTACAAACACGCACACCAATTTCATTATCAATGGGTCGTTCGCAGGCTGTGAAAGTTCTTGAAAAGATTTCTAACGTTTTATACGCGAACGAGGCTTTCTTTTATTACACGTACGTTTCCACTTATCTTTTCGTTATCGCGAGTGGCTGGAAATTCACGAACAATATTATCAAGAGTACGTGAGCGCGAGTATGACATCGTATTACTTTACTCGACGTTGGTGCGAGCGAGGCGTTTGGTCAGCTGTTCATCGATGGCGGGTCGACCGGTCACCCACCCCGACATCGTCGTCGGTACGGTGCCACGCCGCCACGCCGCCGCCATGCCGGCAAGGATCGATCGAACGGTCGGCGGTGGCCGGGGTACGCAACTTCCTACTTCCCGTAGTATGTCCGCGATCATCGGAATGCGACGAAAGTCGGCACATCTCCTTTAACGTCCGAGTCATCTCTCACTGACGACGGCTCGAAGACAGATAATAGGAAATAGGAGTACGTAAACCGAATCGAAGGCGACGTGACGTTCTCGGTAGAACGCGATATGCGCGTCAACGCTAATTACTCGTTAATTAGCGTTGTATTCACGCGGGACGGAACGTTTCCTTCCGACGCGCGTATGCGGAAGATTCGAAACGAGAATCGAGGTAAGGGCGAAGCCGCGCGCACCGTCGTGTCTAATCGAAGAGAGCCAAGAACAGAAGGGATGTTCGGCGCGACGCGAGGGTGAGAGTCGGCGAGGCGAGGCAAAAGCGAGGAAAGGGCCGGGTCGAGGAAGCGGGAGCGAGTGCAACGGCGAGTAGTCGAAACCGCCGGTGCAGCGCGACGAGACGAGGACGGGGCAGCGGCAGGGGTGAACGAAGGGTGGTAGAGGCGCATGCCAGTTGTGCCGTCGCCGCGTTACGAGTCGGCCAACAGCCCGAATCTGCCTCTTTCCCACTCTGTCTCTTCTCTCTTTCCCTTTTTCTCTTTCGTTCTCGCGTTCTCTCTCCGTTTCTCCGCTTCTCCAGCCGCGTCTTCCGCACCGCCCGCGTCAGTGATAGTCGGTACTCCTCCTGTCGACGTTACTCTTTTCCGGCCGCGAGTAACAACGCGCGTCGTCTTTCTTCGCGGAAGAAAGGCTCGGACGAACGCGTCCGTCCGAATCGTCGACGCGTCGCGCGGCGATGGCGTAGAAGTCTATGGTGCACGGTGCACCGTCGAGTCGATCGTTCGTTTTCTACGATCGATCCCGACCGCTAAGGGCAATGGCCCTCGGAACACGGCTGCGTTTTCCCCGCGAGTTTCTTCCAACGACGTTGTCGTGCGCGATCGTTTCGCGGAATCGTTTGGAACCGAGATGGGTTTGCCTCTTCCGCGCGAGAACCCTTCGACGCCGCGACGGCGTGACGGCGTCGGATTCCGAATAATGGAGTGCAACGACGACAGCTATTCCGAATCGTGCGACGAGTTCTCGGTTCCTGGTCGTCGACGTTCGATATCGAGCGACCGTCGCGAGATATGGGATTATTGCGAAGATATTTCCCGGTATCGTTTCTGATTCTCGGGATTGGACGTATAGTAAAAGAGAAGTGACGGATCGCGCGAAAAGGAGTCATACGACGATGGGTCTTTAAAGGTTCAAATAGATAAAAATCCTGGCATTCTACCACAGATACGAACCCGTAGGAACGACTGCACGTGTAAAAAGTATAAAGCATAGTATGTGACGAACCTCGCGTATCTTTGTAACTTTTGTACGATGTTAGTTTTATAAAAAGAGGCTGACTGCCCGTTTATGAATAAACGAATAAATGAAGTGCGACGCCGCGCGGCATGAGTGCCTAGTTTCGCGGTCAGTGATTATAATCGATATCGAATTGTTCTTGCATAAGTATTTATCTACGTGTTGTATACGCGAGCTTCCATACGCTCTTTGAAGCCGGAATGGAGAACACGTAAAACTGGTATTGAAGTAAATCGCGTCGCCGTGACTAATTGAATGATACGCGAGTCGCGTTCCGCGTGTTCATTAATGATTCACGGACTCGAGCGGTGAAACGTGGGTCGAGTCGATATCCCGACGCTGTCGAAGACGATTTGAAGAAACTGTCACGAGAAATGTAGTATTTGCGCGATGCGTCGTCATCTTGACGGTTCGGGAGTATTTCTGAATTTCGATTATGAAGACGACGTCGAACGATGCGGAAGGGAATAGAAAACGAGAATAAAAGCCGATGGATCGGTTTCGCGTCGCGACGCGGGCTTCTCGCCACGAGGATCGGTTTCGGATAATTTCTAGTTTCGATCGTCTGGCGGCAAACGCCGCTGTCGAAGTCACGACGAAACTGCAATAGCAGCGTAACGACGGCGGCGGCGACGGCGTAATAACCGACGAGCGTAACGTCTCGGGTCGTCTCGGTTGATGTGCTTCTATGCGAGCGCCGCTGCCCAAGTATTCTTTTTTCTGGTCGAGTGGTCGTCGGCGAGGTCGGTTCTTTCGGTGGATGAGACCGTTTGTACAGCGTACAGAGGACCGTGTTCGGACCTTGACATTTAAACATGCCGGGCAACCAATCGATTTTTCAAAAATAAACGAAATGCGTTGAATCGACCGACGAGTCGGTCGATACTAGAAACGCACGCGTACCTAAATATTCTTTCTTTCATTTTTTATACGTGATGCACATGTGTACTTATGGAAATACGTATACAAAGTACAAATGACTCACTGGGCTCCGGACTCGCTTAGCACGCATACACAAAAAATCTTACACGTTTTCTATCTCTCTCTTTCTATCTCTAATGCTTTCCATGCGTCGAGCAACGGATTTTCTGTGTGTAGCTACAAAGCGAGTACGAAATCCTTTGAGTCAACCGTACATACGTGAAACGCCTAGAACCTCTGGATTTGTTCGGTTTTTAGAATTTCCAGAATTACGCACAGCGATATTTGCAGCTAGCAGCGAAGGAATAGCGCAACGACGAGTATCGTTTTTCGAAATAATGCCACTTCGCATACGTGCACCGACCTACATGATTTCGTGTCGGAGACCGATCCTCTTTGTTACCCTTGCAACTTTTCTACGATAGTAGCTTTCCTTCGTGAGTTTATACGTTGCCACGTTTCTCGTTCGGTTCGCGTCGACGCACCCGGCGCCGTTCGACGACCTCGTCGAACAAAGATCGGCATTGGAAGGAGCTCGTTCGAAATGTTTCCTCACCGATGGTAGCGCGGGTCGTGAACCGGTCGCACGCGCGGCTCATTCGACGTACTACTACGCGCTCGTATCCGGTGGCTGATAGGAAGATACGACGTGTAAACGTGGGATATTTGAAATGTAACACTTGCGGTCGAGTTCGAGTGCTCGTTGAACGAGCGTTCTCGGGTTCGTTGATATCGAGTCGACCACACCCTACCCAATCCGTTGTTTTTCTTTCACGCCGAAAATTTCTGGTCTCTTCGTTGCTCGCGTCGCGTAGGTCGTCGGCAAGACGAGCGAACGGAGGTGTGCCGCGATTCCTCTTCGATGCACCATCGTCGTCGTCATCGTCATGTTCACGTGTCTTTGGAATTTGTTCGACTGGTAAGATTCCTTCTCTCTTCTCTATACTACGCGCGTCGCGCTTATGATTAACAGCGCACGCGGGCTTCTATTTTATTTATTTATTTATTTACTTATTTATTTATTTATTTACGGGCAGAAGTCCTTTGGTGTACAAGTATACTGACGTCAATAAATTTCAGACCAGCTTTATAAAGTATACTGGAAACATATCACGTTTGGTATTAGCGAAATATATCAGAAACATAGTACGCGCCACATTTTTTAAGTAGACTTTACAAATCTGGTCCGGAATCCCTTGAGGTCACTATACATAGTAAGTAGATAGACATGCTATTAACGCAATTTAAGTGAATTCGTCAATTTTTTTAATGGGAGTCTCACCCATTCGTAAACGTATAATACTCTTCGGTAATTTTACTTGTTGTTATTTGTTATTCTATTTGGTATGAAAATCGGTTCTGTAACCCTTGAATGAAAATAAAATTAAGATGTGGTGATATCATGGTCAAACAGTAAGAAGGAAAGTTAAGAAATAAAAGGGTAAATAGAAGAAACTTGGTTACGAACGTACGGAAGAGATTTAAATAAATCCGAAAGTTGAGAACTTCCCCTGGGTCAGAAAATCGAACGGCTTTCCACGGAACATTTAAAAGTTCGTCGAAAACTCGAAGTAGGTTTTATCCTCGTCGACCGAAATTCAACAGAGTTTTGGTATTATTCAATAAAGAGTAGTGAGAGAGAGAGACAGAGACAAATAATATTTTAGATTTGAGAACCTCAACTAAATACTCTGCCAATCAATGATTCTGTACTTAGTACTGAGATGTATATGTATACAAATACAAGCGAGATAAGTGCTTAAATCAAAGCGCGCGTATATTCGCCATTTCCCGGCGCCCGCAAAATTACCGAGACGAGTTAACTCTTTGAGGTATGCGATTTTAAAGGAAAAAGACCCAAATTGGATTTTTTAAACAACTTTATGTAAAACTTTAAATAGAACATTCAAAGAGCAACTTCAACTTCTCGAGATGGATTGAAATATATTCCAACATGCATAAAAATCTGAGCAAAAGGCGGGACAGGTTTTAACCCACCAACGAGTTAAAATGATGGCAATTTTTTTGATAAACAGGTCCGGTAATCGCGGTTTATGGCAATGCCCAAATGTAAGAAAGACGTAAATACGTGTGTCCGAGAAACGGTGAACGAAGAAAGGATCAAGAATCTCGCGATATCGTGGAGTAGGTCGCGGTCGTAAGTAGTAAGTAGTATCGCGTAATAATATAAGGAAGTTCGTTTTTTCTTCCGAGCTCTTCCTCGAATCGAATCGAGCGTTTCGCTAAGTCGCACGATAAATTTTCGATGACATCGGCGTCACCGCTATTGTTTCGAAATCAGGTCGCGTCCACTCACTATTGTCCACCGAATCGTGCTTCAAACTGTACGTTCTAAGGCGAAAAAGCAAAAATCCATGAAAAGCGTCATGAGCTGAAACCTTTATATCGAAGGCTGCTGGAAGACTTTGCTTCCCGCCCAATTCTATGTCTTTCCTTCTTGTTTGTTTTTTCTTTTTGAATTTGACGTTGAGTGGAGGGACTCTGTGAGGTAATTTACAGTACGATGGGGCATCCAAAGATTTATATAAGAATCTGACTCCCCTGGACGCTCCTATCAACCCAAACTGATTTATCGACTACACTGAATTATGTACGCGTAAGACGCGTCATGAACCTCATCTTTGGTGGTTACGATTCCTGGGAGTATAAGGATGAAGTTATGTGTGGAAAATTTTTATCTGCCTCGAATGGAAAGGCTTTCTTCCCTGTTTACGTCAATAATATTCGAGGATGAGGACGTATGGTGTGCGTCCGAATCGGACGTAATCCCAATCATAATTATTATGAATGAACCTTTTTGCCTTTAAACAGACGGCTGCCGAACGACTTTGCTTTCTGTCCACTTTCTATCTGTCCCGAACAGAAAGAGTTCGTTATCTGCTTTTTAACCCTTTGCACTCGATTTATTTTCAATTTTGTTTTGTACTGCCATCTCCAGCATGACATACGAGTGCAAAGGGTTAAAATTGCATTCGCTTTTACGGGAGAAAACCGTTTACGTCATTGCGATGGTATTTGACGACGAGGAGGATCTATCAATATGTAGTGCGAGTATATCCGAATGCGATCGGAGGTAATCGCAACCGTAATTTTCCTGTTCCAGGCTCGAACAGCCGGTGACCAGCGCAACACCCGGAATGGACAACAAAAAGGTTCGATTTACAACGTTTCATCGAATGATATCTTCCGCGACTAATCTAGTTTATTCGGATCTTCGATTTCCGAGTCGGCGAAATCGAGTCGTCGAAGCTGATCAATTTTCAAATCTCCGTATCGACAGGTTGTCCAGACAACGGCGGCGGTCTCCATGCCGGTTTCGGTCCGCGGGAAGGGCGACGTGTCGAGCGGAGCAGCGGCGGTGGTCTCGTCGGGGACTTCGGTGTCGGGGGTGCGAAGACGAAGCGGGTCTCAAGGGTTGCGATCGCCCGCTGCCAAGAGGCCGGTCTCCGCCCCCGTCGCCCTCCAGGGCTGGCTGTATAAACAGGGTTCCGAAGGTCTGATGCTATGGAAGAAGCGGTGGTTCGTTCTCTCCGAGTACTGCCTCTTTTATTACAAAGGTTAGACCTCGCTTCTTCTTACCTCGTCGCCCGTTTCGTTATTTACTTATTTATCGTTAATCTCTTCTACGCCCGGTTTAAAACTAAATTCTTGTTCATTCGACCCACGTTATTCTCCGCTTTCCTTAGTATCTACAGACGCTTCCGTTTTAAAACGTTACGTTTTCGTTCGATCGACCGCGTCGGTCGATACTCTTCATCGTCGAATAGTTTGCCTTTTCTTTTCGTTTAAAAATTGTCAGCAATTACTAAATAAGTCTTTCGCACTTGTACGTCATGCTAGAGATGAAGTACTCTCACTCATTGAAAATAAATCGAAAAAGGTTAAATAACAACTTTGCGAGCTTACGGTTTTTAAAAATCGAGAATCGCGTCGAAAAAATACGCATTGCATCGAGAACCAAAAGACCATTACGGTAGCTACGAGTACTTCGCAAACTAGACGCGTGCCGGTCCCGGACGCGCCAGCGGGCGCAATCGATTCCTCTCCGTGTTTTCCGAGGAACGACGCGACGCCTCTGTTTCGTATGCGGCGAAAGAAAACGGGAGAGAAGAATAGCGAAGAGAAAAGATGGACGGAAGCTCTTCGGTTACGATGCGTTACGTTTTGTCGATCGAACCTGTAGGTCCGGAAGAGGAGAAGCTGCTGGGTTCGATACTGTTGCCATCGTATAGGATCACCGTGTGCAAGCCCGAAGACAAAGTTAACAAGAAGTTCGCGTTCAAAGCGGAGCACGCGAATATGAGAACGTATCACTTTGCGGCGGACAGCCGTGAAGCCATGAACCAGTGGGTAAACGCGTTGACGTTGGCGACCCTTCTGCAAGATCCGAGCCCGTAAGTTCTACGTATTTTCCTCGATATCCACGTACAAATGGTTCACTTGATTCCGGACTCACTTCTGCCAGAAATTTTACCTGTGGTGATATTGACCCTCCTTTGTGACAAATAAAGAAGTTCTGAAACTGAATCTGAATTCTGCTATAAGGATGGCACATCTACGTAGGTCGAGGTAGTGACGGTACATGGAAAGCATTAAAACTAGAGAGAGAATCTATCATATTTTCTATGTTTGCACGCCAAGTGGATCCGGAATCCAATGTGCCTTCCGTACATACAATTTGTTTGCTCTGTTCCGCGGGTATCGAATCGAAAGTTTGCCGATGTTCTGGAAACGTTCTTCGTGCGTCGATGAACGGACGAACGGTAAATTCGTGAATCATGTGTGATCGCAGCGGAGTCGGGGAAGCAGCGATGGTGATAGAAATAGCTGGTCAGCACGGGCCGAACGGGGATCGCAGCGCGCGACCCAGCGTTTCTTCGATTTCCTCGATTCTGAATCAGAGTGCCGACGACAGCGACTCCGGGTTCCACGGTTTTCAATCCCGAGACGATCCCAGCCACGCGTCCAACAACAATTCCAGTCCGAACAGCGTGAATACCGCTTCGTTCCCGAATCTCACCGGCAACGGCGGCAACAACGGGAACAATAACAACAACAACAACGACGTGTGCGTCGCGAACAACGCGAACAACGAGATCCCACCAATGGTAAACGGCTGGATTCAGCAGCAGCAACACGTTTCTCATGGTCAACTGAATACGTCGCAACATCAACAGCAGCAGCAGCAATACGGACAGTCGATGCACTCGTCTCAGGAACAGAGCCACCACTCTCACTCGTATCAAGCGATGCTTCGTCAGCATTTTTCTTACTTGAATACCGATCAGAGTCAGAATTACCAGTACAAGCGCGCCATTCAGCAACAGCAGCAACAACAGCAGCAGCAGCAGCAGCAGCAGCAGCAGCAACAACAACAACAACATCAACAATCGCAATCGCAATCGCGTTTAATCACGGGCAACGTGCAAACCGTTCAACCTATGCCTAGGAAGTTCGGGCAACCAATTTACGCGAACGCCCCGCCGAAGCCCAGAAGACTCACCGACGGTTCCACCGAATATTCAACGCCATCCCCGGACCCCGACTGTAGAAAGTCTCCAGTGTCTCCGGACGTCGCGTCGACCGGCAAGAGTCCGCTGTCGGATTACGACAAGAACAGTTTGATCTATGGGACGAGGACCAGTCAGCCGTCGCAGCAAAGTTCGCGGATAGACAAATTGGGATTGAATTACGGGACGAACATGGGTGCGAGTACGGGATACGGGCAAGGGCAGATACAGGTGCAGATGCAGGAGAGGCGCACGCCGGATACGTACGGCCGCAGCGCGGCGAAGCCGAGATCGAGCAGAGGAAATGGGGACTACGAGGAAGTCTATGGAACGCCTCAGCTGTACCAGAGACCAGCCGGACCTGTGGGATATGCGAAAGGATCGTCACCGGCGCCGATTCCAATTCCGATCCCCATTCCTGTGTACGCGCAGCATCATCAGCATCAGATTCACTCCCCCGTGTCGGTTTCCAACTCGGGTGAGTAACCCTCATTGGACTAGAACGATGACAAAGAGAAAGAGATAGTGAGAGTGAGAGTGAGAGTGAGAAACGGGGTAATCCGATTCGATCCTCTTCACAGCTACGATAACGAGACAGACAAGAGCGCAACCACCGCCGCGACCGCACAGCGCGGATTTCTTGGAGTACGAGTCGTCCAGGAAACCTCATCAACGACTGACGCCGACGACCGCGCGCTTTGAAGAATCGCTGAATCAGCTGCAGAGGCGTCCTCAGAGGCCCAAGTCGAGCTTGGACATAGTCGCTACGTCGGAGGCTACGAACGATGGATATTTTTATTCCGAAGAGAGGTAACAATCGGACCAATCGTTTTGAACGGTGCGTACTCTCGTACGTTCTGGGTTCCGCGAGCCACGAACCAATCTTTTCCAAAGTCCATTTCGCGGAGCCCGATAGAATTTACTTTCTACGCTAGCCAGACTCGATTCAACTTTTGCTTTCCTTTCGTTCGAGTTTGAACGGAAAAGAGGTCGTACGTCCGACTTACTGAGTCGATCTGCGTTCGGCTGCTCACCTCTTTGCCGAAGTCTCTCTTCGCGATTTGGGAATGCTCTTTCGAGCGTTGATCGCTCATTCGATTCGCACAGGTACGCGGCACAGATGCGACAGTCGGCAGTGTATCTTCATCAAACGCCGCAACAGCATCAGCAACGGAGGAACCAGTCGCTTTCTCGTGCGACGATGCCGTCGAACGAAACGGAAGCGGGGACGGGAATGGAGGCGGATATGGAGACGAGGACGGAGATGGGGGCGGCGATCCGCGACGAAAGCAGAATATCGACGCTGCCGGAAGCTTTGCGCACCTCTGGCTTCAGACGGGAACACGTTCATCAGCAGCACGCGATGCCGCATCAATCTTTCCAAAGGCACATCGAGTGAGTCACTATCCATCGTTTCTTTCTTTCTTCCTTTCTTTCTCTCTCTCTTATGCGCACGGTGGACAGACAATGCGAGTCGATACTGGCTAGTCGTCGCGTTCTTACCCTTTCCTTCACAATGAAATAACCGTAAACGCTAAAAGTCGTGACTATATTCGTTTTCGATCGATGAATAATTTTCGATCTCTCTCGACGAGGGAACGGAACGAACGATGCGAAAACGCAGAGGGTAGGTAATCGGATGAAATTGTTAGAATCGGTTGATCGCACAGGCTGAGCGGCAACGAGGGCAGCAAGCTGAGGCGATCGTTGCGCGACCCGAGCTACGAGTCGAGCGCGAGCGTTCGGGAGGCGATGATGAGTCAGGTGTCGGATACGCATGACACGGACGGGATCGTGGATTCCGTGCGAAGAATTCCACGGCGGGAATATGAGTGGGGTGTCAGGCCGGCCGCTCGCGTTGGCCCGACGTGTCACGCCGCCTCGAACAGACGATGGAACGAGCAGCAACAGCAGCAGCAACAGTTCTGCAGGTCGGCGTCGGCCAGACTTCCGAGGACTAGGCATCCGGCAGCCTTCGACCCCGACGACGAGGACTACGGCGAACCGTCTTCCGAGCAGGACTCCAGGGACGGTGAACGAAAGATACAACAGGTTCGTCTGTTACTTTCTTCCTGTGTATATTTTTCGTATCGATTTGGTTGGTGAAAGATCGATCGAATTTTTCGAGTCGAGGAACCTTCAATCAAAAGTCGAACGCGGCTCAATTCTTGACCGGCTTGTTCGGCGACAGTTTTTCGATCGAAACCAAGCGAGAGAAGGGCGCGCGTGTATCGTTCTCGTACTTAAACTATCGGTACCATGCTGTCTTGAAACAAGGAATTTGATATGGTAATGTCCATTGCTATACGTATTACGTTCATCATAAAATATCATACGAAATAATCATAAAATATCATGCAAAAGTTTATAGATATGAACCATCGGTCTCATAACTTTTTATGTGTAATCTACTATTTTGAAACTCTTTTATATGTCAATATACATAAAAGGGTTTTCGAACCTGTGAAATAAATAAGTATCGACAATCTGGGTACGCACGTTCGTCGCGTAACGAATTGTTTTCAAACGCCGTGAATTCACGAGACGCGATTTTCAATAGACGTGTAATCGCGTAATTGTTAAGAGTAGGTAAAAAATCGGTAAGCGGAAACGAATAAGGAAGGACGCGAGCTACGCGCAGGTGATTCACGGGTAAAAGGTGCAGCGGGGTACGTGGAAGAAGCGATGTGCTGGTCGCGCAGCTATGTATTCGGATTTCGACTCTCGTCACGTTCTGCTTTCATCGGGATCCGTCCGTTGATCGCCGCGGTATTCGTTTTCTTCCTCGAACGCGAAAGCTCGCCGGGCGATTCGTCCGTGCGTCGAATACGAAGCGCGTTCTTTCATTCCTCGATCCATACCTCCCTTCGCGTTCGCTCGATGCAGATCGATGACAGCCGCGTAACAATTGCAGCGAGAAGAGTCTATGAAACGACTTCTGGAATGGAAACAGCGGATGCTGCAGTCGCCATTGACTCGGAAGCCGTCCGCGTCGGCGAACAGAGGTCGCGTCAGGAACGAGCAGCTCTCAAGTTACTACAAGCAGCAGGCCCTGCTCGAGTTGGCCGCTCAGGAGGCTTGCGTCGCGGCCGCCGGAGCGGGAACCGGAGGCGTCGACCCTGCGGAGGCCCGGCACTCGCGGCGGAGGGAGGACGGCCACCGGGCGCACGGTCGCAGCAAAAGCTCCGACGCCCGGCGAAACGTAGCCAACGTGCCCCGATACAACAGCTACTCCAGCGACGACGAAGGTAGGGAAACCTCGCCTGAACTTATTATCTGACAACGAGATATGTGGCTTCTCCGCGCGTTCCCGGGATCGTTTCTCTCTCGCTCACTCACTCACTCTCTCTCTCTCTTCCTCTCTCATTTGTTTCTCATCGTTTTTCATCGTCCGCTTCTACGGTCGTCGCGAGCTTGCCGGTAACCGCTTTTAATTCCTCCTTCCGTTTCGTATTTATCTTCAATGAAAAAGGAACATCCGTCGAGAATCGAGTCACAAACGGAGCTCACGGGACGAGCGAGAAGAGATCTCGGGAACCCGCGCGAGTCTGCGACCGAGGCGATTTCGAGTAGATAGCTGAACTTGTGTGTATCGCTAGAACTAATCGTCGCGTCGGCACGATAACAAACTATTAACCCTTTTACCTACGTGCGCCGCGTACCACGCGGAATAACCGCTTTAACACGATCGCAAATTCGCATTCCGCGAATCGAGACGTACACCGTTTGCCATTCACGAACGACGACGAACCGGTCGGTTCCATCTACGTGTACTGCGTAACGCGCACCTGTACGAACGGTAGTTCTTTGTACGTGCATCGAGACGCGTAGGATATATTTACATGCGCCAGATTCCTTCGATAAAGCAGGCTTTCGACGTTTACAGAATGTACGTCGGCAAAGATTCATAGAATCAATCATTTTCGATAAGAATAAATGCGACGGCAGCTTCGCGGTCGCGAAAATCGAATCGCGCGTGAAAACGTCGTCCAGCTCCTCTCCTGTCTCTTGCTAGCTGTATCTCTCTCTCTCTCTTCCTCTTTCTTTTGCCCGTTCGTTCGTTCGCTCGCAACGCGACGATTTATCGTGGAACTCGTGAGAATTCGAGAGGAGCGAAGAGCGAACAGTGTATGGAAAAAAGAAAGCGTAAGCGTGCTGCCTGGTAAAGTATAGGAAAGTAAAGTAGGGGAATTTGCGCGGGGCTCCTTCTCTTTGCTGCTGTGTGGGTCTGGGCTGTGACTGGTGGATGGGAACGATTAACACCTTCGGAGCTTAACCAGCGCGTCCGTTACGAACTAACGCTAGTCTAGACGATGGGACCTGAGTACGCGATTGAGAAACTTGTATCAGCATGGCATGCTCGAAACTGTATCACACTAACACCAGCGCGGAGCCGATCGCGTTTTTTTTCGTTTCGATGCGATCCGAAGAATTCGTCGAATCAGTCGATGGGCCGCGATACCTGCTCGACATTCCTCGTATTCACACCGATTAATGTTAATCGCGAAATTCGCAATTTCCGAAATTCATTCCCGCGCGGCGTAGAACGAAAAATATTTCCAACGCCAATTACAATCCTCGGTCGTGTCGGTCAGGTACCACGGTACGCGCGCGAATCGGGTCACGAGATTGATAGAACGCGTTAACGAACCACCAAGTCCCCCATCGGAGTACAATGGGCCGTTTTTCGTGTTATCGTCCGAGCCTAGCGCGTGCATCGTCTTCCAACGATCGAGTATTCCGGCGTAATTGGGGGAACGTCGCGTACGTCAGACGTCGACGAGAAGTTCGACCTATCCGCGATCTTGAAACTTTCGAGTCGTTCCCTGCGACGATCGAGTACTTTGAAATCGGCTCCGGCTTCGCTTGGATCACGCGGTTCAATCGGTATCGAGAAGGATTTTGGTTGGTGATTAACCGATTAATTCCCGAGTCGTGAATCGTCAGTAACAAAGGTCCTCGTGTGTTTGTTCCGTAACGGATGACTCACAGAGATGGGAGACGATGTCCGGAAGAAGCGCACGCGCAGACCCTCGCATGCCGGAAGGAGCCCCCGACACCTCGTTCGAGGAGACGATCGTTCGCCGATCCGAGAACGCGCGTCCGGTGAGATACCCCCGGACGCGGGATACGAGGAGATCAGCTTCCCTTCGTCGAGCACCGTTCGTACCTCCGAGCGAACGAACCGTCGCGGCGCCGCCGCCACTCCGACCGGCGTTGAGACGAGAACCGACGAGAAGGGGACCGAGAGGAACCCCTACGGCGTCGACCGATCTGGAGACGATCCGAACGGTTCGTCGAACGCGCACGCGGCCGATACCTGGTGGCCCGCTCGGAAGACCGTCCAGTGGGCCGTGGACGACGACGAAGGAGAGAACGAAAAGGAAAAGCGGAAGAAGAGAGATAAGGACGAATGGGACTCGCGCATCGACGAGGCCAAACTCATCAAAGAGTTTTCTTACCATTACATCAAGTACAAAGCGGAATCGAGATCCGACAACGAGGAGGACGAGCGGAACGAGTCTCCCGACGAGACGGCGGGAACGACGAATCTGGTTCGCTGCAGGATACGATCGTTCGAGCCAAACGGTGGCGAGAGAGGATCCGGCAAGGAGACTCTTGCTATGCAGGAACCGCTGAAGGTGTCGCCCGTTCAAGCGACCGAGGCACACGTCTCGAAATTGGATCGTTCGAAGAACAGCGGCGGCAAATCGTCGGTGATTCGCAGCTTCGCCCTCGGGGAAACGAACCGACGCGAGGGAACCGTCGGAGACGGCCATGCGAAACAAGCCTCGACGGACAGCAACAAATCCGTGAAGGACCTGCTGGCCGATTTTGAGAGAAAGTCTCGGCGAGTCGAGGAACGATCTCAACACGAGTTCGACGGCAGACGGCGAGAGACGAGGCATCGTGCGGCGTTCAGCGATTCGGAAGCTTTGTTTTATGAAGCGGGAAGCGACTTGGATCGACATCGGGATATCGAGGGACGAGAGAAGAACGAAGAGAACAGACGGGACGAGGATTCGAGAACGAACGAGGTCGACGAGACCGAAGCTGAGAGGGACGTTTCTTTCGAGGAGGAATCTTCCTCGCCTAAAAATCGACCGGAAAACGTTCCCACGGAAGATTTGGACGTCGCGGCGGGAAATCGCGTTCGCGACGGATCCAGTCCAACGGAATCTCTGCTGACCCACGGCGATCGGCTCTCCGAAGAAAGCGGAAACGCGAGTCCGACGACGTCGAAGAAGCAAGAGGAGGAGGATGAAGAGGACGTGAATCCCGAGGAACACTACTTACCTATGTCTCCGAGGAAGGCTATCTTGGATCCGAACGACGACGACGACCGACCGAATCCGAATATGATGGAGAGTCTATTCGCGAACCTGGAACGCGAGGAGAGTTCATATGTGGAGATGACCCGGAACGGCATAACACGATCCTTGCTGGCCGAAGACGCCGGCGACCTGCGCGACTCCGGGGATTATTCGACGTTGGACGCGCCGCACTACGAATTCGTTTGCGTCTCGGACAGCAAAGTCGAACCGGTCTACATGGAAGTGAGTCAATTATCCGACCCGGAGAAGGAGAACGGTAGCAGGGACCGGGAGGAGGATCGCGATCGAAAAATCGCCTCGAACCATAACAAAAGATCCAGCGAAGACCGTTCTACGCACTCCGCGCATTCCAGGAGTACCGATCTTCCTGATATTATCACCGCTCTGAAATCTGACGACAGCTCCGACGCGGACGACGAATCCTCGAAGGATCTGGACTCGATCGACGCTCCTCGTCATCCGAGGTTCAGCTTGTCGGACACTTTCAGGCCGGCGTCTTATTACTTGGGCGCGAGTCGAGCGATAATCGCGGAGCTGCACGACTCGTCGGACAGCGAACTGGTGTCTCCACCACCGATTCCGACGTCTCCGCCGCCGTTAGACGATCTCGACTCGCTGGGACTGCGAGAGTCGTTGGAGGCAAAGAAGACAGCGTCCAGTGCGAAACCCGTCGCGATGGGCCAAGTCGAGACCCAAAGACCTCCGTCGAGGTTCTCGGACGCCACGACTGGTTCCACTTTCCGGGACAGTCGAATCTCGTTGGAGAGCGCGTCAGGCAGCGACTCGGTCGCGGCAGAGTTCAGGACGCTGGAGGAGGAGACGAGGCACAGACAGTTGAAAACGAGACCAGTCAGCGAGCTCTGCGAGGAGACTGTGCTCGACGGCTTGGACGAGTTGGAATCTCTCAGCGGTAGTCGATTCGATGGAGTCAGCATCGATCTCGATCGGTACTTGGAGGAACTTCGAGCTCGCGACGCTTTCAATGTCGATCTGTACGCGAAGGAGCATCTGGGCTACGGCGGCAGCGTTTACGGATTCAACGAGAACACCGCATGCGTGGACAAACTTCGGAAGACGGCCTGTCGCGATTTGTCCGTGCGACCGAATCCGGCGATCGACGCCGATGGATACGACGCGTCGAACAAGATGGGATCCGCGAGCAGTTTGCCGTCGATGAGAGTCTGTGACGTTTCTCCGTCTGTCCATCATCAACATTCCCAATCGTTCACCGGGGACTCTCACTACGAGAACGTCTCGAGCTTCTCTCCGTTGCAGGCCGTCGCTCACTCGAATCCTTCGTGCGATCAGGATCGCCATCCTATCGCGCTCGTCTCCCACACCAGAGACTCCAGTTACCCTTTCCGCGATTCCAGCATTCGAGCCTCGACTTTCGTCTCATCTGTCGGTCGGAGACCGGCCAGCGCTCAATCCTCGACAAACTCCTCCGCGTACTCCTTGGGGAATCGTCTGGGAAACAACTCCGACAGTGGCGAGCCGCGAACCGCTAGTCCATATTCCGCGAGCGGTTTTCGGGTCGCGGTCCATTCAAGATCGGCTAGTCAGGATTCGGCTGGATATTCGAAATCGCCGTCCAGCCGGGACGATTCGAGTCGTCGATATTCGAGCTCGACGACCACCGCGGGTCGCTCCTATCTACCGGAAGAACCTCGAACTCGCGGCGAATCGGCCACCGCGCCTTACTACTATTCGGACCTTCGACCGAACCCTAGCGCGTCGAATGCCCCTGGAACCGAGCCCGGTAAGCCGATCGTCGGGCACACCTCCAGATTGCCGCAGCTGAACAACCAAAGGGACGACGCTTCCGCGTTGAACAAGCGAAACGACATAGGACGCATCGTCAATCCGATCTCCAGGCAGATACCCAGGCAGATACGAGTCGACGACATAGACGAGGCCAGGCGAATCGCCGCGGAGTTAAGAAGAACGAGCTGCCAGTTGCTGGCCGACGACAAGGCGGACCTCGTCGACAAGAGGAACTTTTACGAGGCCGACACTCTCAGAAGAGTGAAATCGACCGATCCTCTGCCAGACGGGATTTCGACGGACATCAGCGCCTGGAGGAATCTGTATCCCCACGGTCTTCGAGACAAATCGAACGCGAATCGCGACAATTGCAGGCGACCGGCCGGATCGCCACGCGAGACTCAGACCTCGTCGTCGCATCGAAGGTCCAGGTCGTTGGAAGGTCTTCTCGACGACGTCGGCCTTCAGAATCTGGTTGAACTGAGGAACAGAAACGATCGTGCGACAGCCACGGCGACGGTCGAGTCGACGACGTCGAGACTAGATGAACGAGAGACCACGACGTCAACGCGGAACGCGAGCACTGAACTCGACGTCGTCGGTGCGAACGCTTCGACGTTCGCCAATGTCCAGGATCCTTGGGAGCAAGATTCTCTGTGGAGGGAGAGTCTGAGAAGAGTGAGTCTGAGGAACGCCAGATCTTTGGACAACCTCGACGATAATCCGAGGACGACGAACGCGTCCGGTTTCGACGCGAAGGGCCGAAACAAGATCACCCGCGGCGCCACTTACGTGAACGACAGCGTGATCTCGCGAAGGGACGAGAGAGCGAGGAAGAGCGCGAAACGCGAAACGAGCGAGGAGGACCAGAGAGAGGAAGAGGAAGGGGCTTACGAAAGCTCGGCGACGGAACGCGTTTACGACGGGGATGCATACGCGTGGAACTCTCGAGACGAGATTCGCGGGAACGAAGCCACTGAAGAGGATAAGGATCATTTTTTAGAGAAAGGCAACCTTCCCCCGATCGGTTCGGAGATGGAACAACGTCAACAGCAGCAGCAGCAGCAGCGAGCGTTGTTCGAGTTCGACCGAGAGAAGCTCAGGCAATGGGACCTACTGTCGAGCGCCTGCTTGCTCCAGGAACAGCAGCGGGGCTCGATGGCGGACTCGGGGCGAGGGTTGCCAATTGCGGAACAACAGCTCACAGACGTTCCCTGTACGCGGACGACGAACGCGAGCACCGCTGCTGCTGTCGATCGTATGAATCTGGACGGACGGGTCGGCGGCGTCGCGTCGAAGGCGGTCGACGCACCGATCTCGCGGACCACCTCGACGAACGGCAACGACGGTCAACGAGAACCGAACGAGACCAACGAGGCTCGTGACAGAGTGACTCCAGGTGAGTGGCTCCTCGAGACATCCGGTCCCGGTGGTGTGTACAGGAAGTGACTGACTGGCCGTGTTCCAAACCTCTCGTCTCGTTCGGTCTCGTTCACCGGCGATCGCTACCTTTGCCGAAACGTACCTGCACGGCCGATCTGTTCATAGTATACGTAACTTTTCTCGCCGCGACCGACGTCGTCTCCGTCGCGCCTAACGCTGTCGTTGAAAACCGGCGTAACGACAAGAGACCGGGTTCCAACTTGCAACCGGCTGTTATCCGCTGTTTATCAGGTATCTTTTCGTCGGCGGACGTGACGACGTCCTTTCGATTTGCAACGATTAGCAAATACTTCCATCGATGCGAGTTGGAACGCGGCCTGAGATGTATGTTGCGTGCGAATGCTCGTCATCGAGAAAATATTCGGCCGTATCGAGCGTGACGATCTATCGCGTCTGGCAAAAACTGATCGACCATCGACGATACAAACGACGGTAAATAACAACGAAGGTACGCATACAGTTTGAGATTATTTCTGCGGCTATAATCTGACATCGTTACCGTACAGTTTTATTTCATTCGAAACTCGGACGTTTTCCAACGCTGGTTCCATCGAGAACGTTTTGCCAGGTATACCGGAGATCGTCTCGGTCGAATTTATTTTTATCGTCGCTGGGGAACGATGTTTCCGAGACTTAGAAGAAATAGGAATCGAACTGCTCTCTTTCCTGTGTAATAAAATAGCGTTCGTTGCACAGGTACAGCGCATTATCGATTACGCTGCCACGATTGGGGCCACATTCGAGGATATCCTTGCTAATTTTAAGTTTACCGATTTCGTATACATACACATATGTACAATACGTACAGACGACCGACGCTAAATATTCGTCGTCGCATCGACGACGCGCGTTCGTTTCGTCATCTTTCATCTACCTTTGCTCGTCTTCTTCGCTAAAGATATCTGTAAACGCGATCGAGAAGGTACGAGGGATATTTTCGTCCCCTCGCCGCGACTCTGTCACTCGTCGGGCGACGAGATTCGAATAATTGTCGGGATTCGATATTTATCGGAAAGAGCGTGTCGTCGAGAAACTGGAACTAGGCATATTTCTTTCTCTGTCTCGTCTTCACGTACTGATTATATTTTGTACGCATCGAAATCGGTTATGGTCATTCCGAACGAACTCTAACGAATTTAATTCGAAACATTGTATTCGAAATGTATGTTACGCGAGTTTAATCGCGAGAGTGAACGAGTCGCGATTCGAGTCTCGCGACTCTCACGACGACAATAAACCAGTTGAAAAGAAGATCAGTCGATGATCGGACACGATAATTTACTTGACTACCTTTCGTAAAAGTCGTTGCAGCTTAATCGGCGCGAAAATGACTACGCAGCGACGACGCAGTGTCCCGGAATTTCTGTAAGTAGGACATTTCTTCGAATCGAGGACCCGAGGCAAGATTTTCCGTGCGACGAACCGCGGACGTGTCACGTGTACGTCCATTCTCTTCGGCGCGATGTCTGCCAGCCGAGGATGGTAACGGCTAATCGCGCGTTCGAACCAGGCGTGATCATGCCTCGAAGACCTTTCCGAATCACATTTACTCTTTGCACGTGCCAACTGACATTTCACCTACCCCGCGTACCGCGGACGAATCTGGAATTTACGTATAGACTCCGTGCTACAGGTACCTACGCTTCCAATCTGCTGTCATAACAGTCGCGTGCGGTTCGGACCGTAAGCACTTCGTCACTAATTCGATGGCAATTTATGGGAACGATTCCGCGAAAGAATTCAGCCGAAGCAGAGCAAACCACACCTTTTAAGCTATTCGAGGAGAATGAAACATGTTCTACAAAATATTCTTCATTTTCGACCTACTTTTCCAGAGGAGAATCGTACTTCCACGAGTCGTATTCTCAGTACATCATGAATATGATATACTGGATGTCCAAAAAATTTGGGACCAAACTTGTACTATGTATTATCGAAATTCGATTGATGTTTAGGGAGTCTGATATTTACTGTTTATAAGAATTGGGAGAATTAAGTCGTCGATCGGTTAGATGCTAGACAGTGAAGCAGTCGCCCGGCAAGCGGGAGTAGGTCTGGAGTCTAGGGCAATTGAGATCCTCTTTACTTTTTTTATTTCCGCTTCAAACTCGGTACGGCTAGGAAATTAGCGTAAGATTCGGGTTGTGACCGTTCCGGTACGAATGCTTCGAAAACAATTTCGACTAGTAGACCACGTTTTTGCTTCGTTTCGCGGTTTCTCGGCGGTCTTTCGAAATGAGCTACAGCGCTGTTCCTTATTCCGCTAGTCAAGAGACATCGAACGGTACCCTTGGTCGCTTGCTTACTTCCTTGATCGCGCGAGCTTCAATGCTGAAAACGGTTTTTTTTCATACGTTTATAACTGCGTTCCCTTCTCTTTGAGAAAACAATATTCGTTCATGAAATACACGGAAGTAATCGTCGCGAAAATTTATATGTACACATCCAATTGCAAACGATACACACGAAAATAATAGGTGCAATGCATATTTATTTATTTATTCTTTTTTATTATTTATCCACGGGATACAAATATAATGCAATATAACATAAAGCAGTACAAACATAATTAGAATAATTGGTCCTAAGTATTACAAGTATAATGACACGTAGAGTACCGAGTCTTGATACATTTATACAAACCATAAAACAATCATTGGTACGCAGCTAGAAAATGAGTAAGAATATGCGTATGCGCCGTCCCAAAGCCTGCTAATTTCTATGCATACAATAAGTAATATTTATCAAGCAATTGGTAGCTTGATCTGTGAACTCGTAAACAGTTTTTGTTCGAATCGAGGCAGCCAGTCTCTCCCCCATCCGTCGGACCGGCGTCCGGTGGTCTGGTTATTCATGGTGGAATCCCGTCAACGGTTCACGCGGTGCACAATAAAATTACGTGCGCGCACATATGTGCAGAGACCGGTGAACAATCGGAACCAATATCGGGACTTTTATTCGACGTAAAAAATGAGAAGAGCATGATTGACGGTCGCATTCGACCAGGTAGCTAGGGTGGCGTAAACTAAACAAAAGGAGGGTGCAATGAAATGGCGTGTAAAGGCGGCGTACGTAGCGTGCTCGCGTTTACACGTGCGACTGCCTGCCTACCGTCGTATTGAGAATCGGCGGCAGCGGGTCGAGAGGACGGAATCGAATGGAATAGAACGGAATATGAACGAGTCGGTCGAGTGTCGAGCGGAGCGGGACAGAAACGAGACGAGAGGGACTGAGGGACACTCGCCGTTCGCCACTCGTACGTACTCGTTCTTCGCTCTCCGCAGTCGTGTCTCGGCCTCGCGGCTCGTGGTTCGTGTGGTCGTGGTCTGTGCCGTGGTTCGTCCCTGTCCTGTCTGTCCGCTCGGTCAGCCGATGCCACTCGCGACGCAACGGCATCGCGCGCGCCAGTTCGTTCCGACCCGGTTCGCGCCACTCGACACTGGCATAAACCGTATCGTCGCGCGTTACCGAGACATGTTTGCGCTTTCCGATCGCGTGTTTTTCATCGGATTCGTCGCCCGCTGAAAAGGGACTTTTGAAAGTTCTCCGAGCTCGTCGGAGAACGAGCGCAGGGCTTACGCGCGGGAGACGAACTTCGATGAATTCATCCTTGGTTGCAATAAAGTGTCACAAACTACCAAAGTTTCCTCGATTCTTTATCCGTGTTACGCTCCGAACTTTCTTCTCTGCCAATCGTAAGTGCGAGTTTTCGATCTCCAGATTCTCGGTAAGACCGTGTCGCTCGTGAAAGAATATTCGTTTTTTCGATCGTCGATTACGCATAAGTTTCCGATGAAAATCCGACGCAACCGCAGAGTTCAAAGATCAGTTCTGCCCGCATGAGATTTACACTCGGATTGCTAAAAATGCCATGACTGATTGTTCTCCGAACGCGCGTACCTCGTGAAGTTCAATAGAAACGGGGAGAAAACGGGTAGACCGATCGCCGATGGATGGAAACCGTGGAACGCGACTCGCGATCGTTGACGTACAGTCTATCTACAGCTGTACACCTTAGGAAAGTAAACTTTGCCGGGAGTGGAATCAACTTTCACGGGTCGACTCGTACATGCATCGACGAGGTTTTACGATGTCCGCGTGCAGTACATTTATCGCGCTTTCGTCGGGGCAATTAACGTCGGTTCGCGTTAAACTGGATCGATTCGCGACAATTTAACATCTTAGTTACGCAACAGGCGGCTCCTACCAACGTTCGTTACGCGCAGTCGATATCTACGGTGAACCGAGTGAAAGGTGTAAAGTGAAAAATTAAAAGTGAGACGAAGGAAAGAAAGAATGTCACATTTCTGGAATACGAACTGAATCGCACCGGTATCGATACTCGCTGGTGCCAGAGCGGCAAAACCAAAGGCGACGGAGATTGCGCGTGTACGCTACGAGGATCAGCGATGAAAACGTGTTTCACGTAATTGCAAAACCCACGTGTATACAGCGTCGTACTGTGCGACGCATCCCGCGTTCTACACCCTGCGGCTCGCTAAGTTCCTTCGACGAGATGCGACGAGTCGCACGTGAACGTACGGGCGGCTGGACGCTGACGGTGTCAGAAGAGAAAGAGACGACTACGTTTACGTTTGCCATTGGTTCCTCGCGGCGATAACGAGCGCGACTGGACCCGGCGGACGGGATGGGTGGAAAAGTCGGGCTAATCTGTGGCAGTTGCTGGTCCGGGAAGTACAGTACGTATACCGTGATCAGCGTATTTTTCGATCGATCGTTATCACGTGACTTAGTTCGGAAGTGGAATTACAAGCAGAGTTTCGGCTATATCTATGGTAACTGACGTGATGTACGAACGTGTTCGTGTCATTTGATCGACGAGACCGTCGCATCGTTGGTAAAAACGATTTAACGTCGAAGAACGCGAAAACGAACGTAAGAAGGAGGAGATACGACGAGAGAAGAGACCGAATTCGGCTGATGAACCGTTAAGAG